TGGTGGTTGTGGTAGTGTGCCATGGAGTCGGTTCCGATTCATAGCGACCCTGTATAGGGTTTTCGAGGCTGTAAATCTTAATTGGAGCAGAAAGCTTCATCTTTTTCCTGTGGAACGGCTGGTAGTTTCAAACTGCTGACCTTGAGGTTAGTAGCCCAACTTGTAACCACTACACTACCTGAGCTAGCCATAACATTAGGGGTGAGTCAACTAAATGTTTCACCAAATGTAACAGACTAATTTTTAATTTGATAACTGTGTTGTATGACCCACGAATGATACAAATTTTGGTATAAAAATTGTCCCCCCTTTGGCTGTATAGGGTTTCTGAGGAACAGCTGTCGGGTTTGAACTGCTGACCTTGTGTTTATAGTTTAGTGCTGTTCCTTAATGCTATAAATATCCTGCCCTATTTTGATGCTCCTCATAAATTTTGATATGTTTTATTTTCATTTCTCTCAATTCAAAATATTTTGTAGTTTTCCTTTTTCTTTATTCGTGTCTCACCTAAAAGTGTGCTGTTTCATTATCAAGTGAACAAAAGTATCTGTTGTCTTTATGCTATTTGGACTTTAATTTTATTGTAGTCTGAGAACAGTTTGCGTAATACTGTTTTACATTTGTTAGAGCTTGTTTCATGCCCCAGGATATGCCCTATGTTGGTGAAAAGTCTGCTGGACTTGAACATATATTCTCCTGTTCCCAGGGTGGTGAAGTGCTCTAAATAGCAGATATATCACATTGGTCTAGTGCTGTTCAGTTCTTGTCTATCATTGCTAATTTTACCTAGCAGTGATAGTGATCACTCTAAGTGGGGTTTTACAGCTGGAAGGGTGTGTGGTGTCTCTTTGCTGTGAGGTTGTTTATTGCAGATAGACAGGGTCATTATTAACAGGAATTCTTCCCCTATCCTCTGGTGCCAGTCTCCACAGTGTCTGGTGGGGAGGACAGAGGCACTGCTCTGCCAGCCTTAGGCACTCACTGCCATCCAGTCAGCTCAGACTCATTGACCCCGCATAGGGTTTACAAGGCTGCACATCATTATGGTACCAGACTGCCTCGTCTTTCTCCCATGAAGTGGCTGGTGAGTTTGAACTGCTGACCTTGAGATTAGCAGTCCAGTGCTTATCCTACAGCCCCATCAAGGGGAGGCATATGATCGGGCTTCAACTATCATTTAATTCACTTTTTCCATGAACTTTTTAAAGCCCCCTCATAAGTACTCTGCCCTGTAAACTCTATTGTTAAGTGCACTCAAGTCAGTTCTGACTCAATGACCACCCTGTGTAGCGTTTCCAAGAAGCAGCTGACTGGTTAGCAGACCAGTGCTGATCCTACAGCACCACACCAGTGAGGTGGAAAGGGGACATCAGCTCAACACTGTAGAGTGAGAATGGTGGGCAGGACCCTGTCTCACATGCTCCATAACCCTCGGTACGTAGGATGCCAGCTGGTTACTGTGGAGAGATGGTCAGCAGTGCCCAGTGAAATACGTAGGAGTACAGCATGGCTAGTGCACAATGGTGTTGTTCACAGGGCTTCACCCTACAATTTCCACAGGATCTGGTGTACCACAGGTATTGTCAAGAGTTGTGTCCTATACAAATGCAAAGAAGGAATCCAGGGAGGCAGTGAGGAGAATGCAGACTCATGTGAGATTGCAAGCAACATCACAGAACAATCTGTGCAGGGATTGTTGATGGGAAGACTGCATTCGCTAGAGAAGGAGCTCATGTTTGGTAAGGTGGAGGCTCAGAGAAAAAGAGGAAGACCCCCAGCAAGGTGGATTGGCAGAGTGGCAGTGTTTCGTTCTGTTGTGCACGGGGTTGCTACGAGTCGGTACTGACTCAGTGACACCTAAGAACAACAACAAATGTAAATTTTCTTCTAAAAGTACAACAAAGTAATATTTTTTAAAAACTAGGAAGAGAACTCCAGTCTCCTGCTGCCCAGATACCCCTAGCATTCTTTTCTCACTAGAGCTGATCCTCCAAGAGCACATTTACCACAGGTCTCTATAACTGTTAAGGATTTCCTGTGCCAGCTCTTTTGGCAGCCCTAACATCCGTGATGTAACTCTCCTGCTCTGATAGGCAGCTATACTTTAATTCCTGACAACCTCACTGGTAGGCTTTGTTATGTGTCATAACCCCATGATGATTTGGTAATGTTTCAGGGCACCAAGACCCAACACATGAATAGCTACAGTAGTAAAAGACAACAATTTTTCAAGCAAAGATGAGAACATTTCACCACAGCACCTGGAAAAATAATTTGGTATGTTTTTGTTTAACCAATAAACAACTTCATGGAAGGCAAAAAAAAAAAAAAAAGAGTTGTGTCCTGTTGAGCTGTCTTCTTCTTGGTCCTTTAGTTAGAGAAAGCAGGCTATTGTTGGGCCTTATATTTCAACTGTACATATTGATCCTTCCAGATTTTGGACTGCCTTATGACCTGGGCCAGGATTCATAAGAAGGACAAAAAAAAACAAAACAAACAAACAAAAAAAAAACAAAGGAGAAGAGTTTGCTGTTCACACCTAGATCGTCCCTCAGTCCTGATGTCCTCAGCCAGTCTGCTTTTTTCTTTCCTTTAATTCTCAGAGTGTTTTGATGGTTGTTTTTGTTTTTGTTTTGAGTTGTAATTGACAGGAAGGATAAGCTGGGATGCACTAATTCCCACCTTTTCAGTTTGTTTCATGACTTACTCCTTCCTGTTTCTCTTGAGACTTCAAATACATGTGTGTTAGAATGCTCTATCTTGGTTTTCAAAAAGTTACTGAGATTTTTTTGTGTGTACAGTATTTCAGTTTGGATATTTTTTGCCTGACTTCAACTTGGTTGATTTATCTGTTTCAGTGGTATTAAATCAACTATTCATTCTCTGAATTTTTCTGATATTCTATCTGTTCACTAATTATGCTCATCTTTCTTTCCCATTAAGCCATATATATATATATGCTTTATAGTCCTTATCTACTATATACCATGTGGGCCATCTCTGTTTCCTGTTGGCTACAGATAAAATACAATATTTCTCCTATTGTGAATAATGTTTTCCTGCTACTCATAAGTGTAGTAATTAAGAATTTTTTTAAAAAGACACTGTTTAATAGAGCAGTTTTAGGTTTACAGAAAAATTGCACAAAGTATGTTGTTGTTAAGTGCCTTGAAGTCAGTTTCAATTCATATTGACCCTCTATAGTGTTTCTAAGGAGCAGCTTGGTGGGTTTGAACTGCTAACCTTTCATTTAGCAATACAGTGTTTATCCTACAGCACTACACCAGGACTCTGCAGATAGTACACAGTTCCGATATTCCTGTTTGCCCCTGCTGTTATTTTTTTTATTGTTAGCATCCTGCCTTAAGTGTGATATGTTTCTTGTCATTGATTCATATTGATACAATACTATGAACTAAAGTCCATTGTTTACATTGGAGTTCCTAAGCGGTGCAGATGGCTGAAGTGTTCACTACTGACTGAGATAAGTTCTGGTGTGGCACTGAGGACTAATGTACTGGACTATAAATCCGGTTTCAACCACACAGTCAGCGTTTCAAGCTCACCAGTCACTTCTTGGAAACCCTATAAAGGGTCCCTATGGATTGGAACCAACTCAATGACACTTAACAACAACAACTAACTGAATAGTTGGGAGATTCAAATCCACTTAGAAATGCCCCAGAGGAAAGGCCTGGCAAACTACTTCTGAAAAACTCAGCCAGTGAAAACCCTGTGTGGCCCAGCTGTACTCTAACACACAAGGGTTACCATGAGTGGGAACTGACTTGACAGCACCTATGTTAGTTTTATAGTTTACATTCAGGTTCACTCTTTGTGTTGTATAGCCCTATGGATTTTGACAAATGTATAATATCACGTATCTACCATTACAGTGGGCTCCTGGTGTGGCACTGTAGGATCATCATAGACTGCGAACAATAAGGTAGGCAGTTCAAACCCACCAGCTGCTCCTTGGAAACCTGTACAGGGTCACTGTAAGTCAGAATCGACTCAAAGGCACTTAACAACTACCATTATAGTATCATACATAATCGTTTTATAATAGCCCTAAAATTGCCCTCTGTTCCACCTATTCATCCCTCTAGACTCCTGAGCCCCTGACAACTACTGATCTTTATACTGTCTCTACAGTTTTGCTTTTTACAGAATGTCAAATAGTCGGAACCAGTATAGCTTTTGCCAACAGGCTTCTTTCACTTAGCATTCTGAGTGTAAGGTTCCTCCATGACTTACCAAGGCTTAGTAGTTCTTTTTACTGCTGAATAATACATGATTCATTCACCTTCACATCTTGGTTGTTTCCACTGTTTGGCAGTTTTGAGTAATTTGCTTTATGTCAGTATCGATAATGTTTGATCTGTACCTAAAAGACATACCATAGTACCCACCCCTGGGGCACTTCCTCTGGCTATGTCAACTTAATCCTATACCCAATATACAGCAAAAATAATTTGAGTTTCTATGGTATGCAAAAGGTTGAGAATCGCTACACTAATTATAGTTACATGATCTCTCTATATGACTGATTCCCATAAGATTAAGCCCAGTTTTTTTAAAATCTTGCCAAGAAGTCAGTTTTAATATTCTATCCTATTTCTAGATTAAAAAAAATAAATCTTAGTTATACGTACATAATGTGAAGTTAACTAAAAGGAACACTTTTTTAAAATATGCAGTTAGATGGATATATATTTTTTTTTTATTCATACTGTATACATGATGTGAGAGAAGGCCTAGCTCATGTGGTTTAAGATTGAACAGGTTTGGCTGTTAGATTCCAGTAAGTACTTTATAAACTGTCAAACCCAGGATTTGCGGTTTGTGCTACCTTTAATGATAACTTATCAGGGGAAATAAACAACACACGAACATTTGATCACAGTATACAACAAGTTTTACTTAGCATTTTTATACCATAATAAAATAAATACTTGGATAACTCAAATCTAACACACAATGTATGTATTTTTCCATAGGAATGTATAAGAAGACGACAAAAATATGAGGCATATTTGAAAGAAGTAAAAAGTTTCCTACAAAAATCTAACTGCACACAATCCCCACATTCATTTTATAAATACTATCAGCATGATTTCAGCAGTGCAGACATAAACAACGAATCAAGATCTCCACATTGGTATACAGATGACACTTCCACTGCTGGTGTGGGGGCCACAGAGTTAGACAGTTCTTCCCAGTTTACTTGTAGTGAAGAGACAAAGACAGGTGTGTATTCTTACAGCCTACTCTTACTTTTTCTTTTGATGTTAATATTTCTTGCTTTATATTTTCTCTGAAGATATCAAATAAAAATTTAAAGATTCCATTTCATCATAAAAATTTAAAGATTCCATTTCATCACAAAAATGTTGCGTTTTCATTTCAAGGTTTTCTCCCAGGCATTTTCAACGTAATTGGCTTTAAAAAGAAGGAAGATATTTTAACAAAGCAAAAGTGTAAGCACTCTAAAAATCAAGTTGCTTTAAACTATAAATGGTGTCATGTTATAGGTTGCAAAATACGTTTGTGAAGTTTCGGCGTAATCTAAAGAAATGGCTGGCATTTTTTGATCAAAGGGGCAATTTGAAAATTGTACTGTTTGATAAACACAATTTATCTTATGAAAACTTTTCTTCTTAATTCCTTTTAAATACACAGAACAACAGAGATATTCAAAAGTTTAGACAGGCTGATATACTCTATAGATGTCTATTTTCTAGCACTCACTACTAAGAGCAAGGCACATTCTGTCAAGTGTGATGAACAATGATCTTACCTTACTACAATATGGACATTCACCAAATATGGTGTTAAAACTCTGTCTACTTGTCAGTAGTCCTCTCAGCCACTGAAAAAGTTTAAAAAGAAGAGAAGAAGGAGACTGTGTCAGAATAATCACAAATAGTAAAGATAGTCCCAAAAGCATTTCTTTGCTTTTTTTAATCCAGAAGACTAGCTTTTGTAATTATGTTTTAGAAGAATAAGGGTTATATTTCCTAAAACAAATACCAAACTAGCAATATGCTGGGTAACAGAAAGAAATCAACATGGGATTCAGAGTGTTGACTACCTGTTTTGAGTCAAATTATGGAAACTTTTGAGAATTTGGTGAAAGTTATGTACCTTCTTTACCCAACTCCCCCCCCCAAAAAAAAAAAAATACGCAAAATTCTATTAGGTTTATAGAGACCTTCACTATATCCATTAGGCAGAAGTTAAGAACGAATCCATGCTCTAAAGTATACCGTTGTTGTTAAGTGCCGTTGAGTCAATTCTGACTCATAGCGACACTGTATAGGAGTTTCCAAGGTGCAGCTCGTGAGCTTGAACCACCAACCTTGCGTATCAAACTGTCTTTGCAGTCCAGTGCATTGACCCATAGTGTCACACCAGGATTCCAAGTATACCATGGACTCTTGAAACTGTTAGTCATAATTCTGGTCTTTACTTAATCTCTAATAGTAGGTTAAATCTCAATTCATAAATTACTTTAGGTAGTGGCATGAAGCAGCCCTTCTTAAAAAATTAAATGAATAGTAAAGAAAGCACATGTTGCCTTAGAATATCTCTGTACTTGGACCAAACATTTTATGATTTTTGTATAAAGCAAATTATGCTTCAAAATGTAAATAACGCATTGTTAAAGTAATATCTCTCACAGTAATCAACAAAAATAAAGACTGAAAACAGAAAGCATTATATAATGCAAGATGTTTAATATATGAATTCACCTATAATTAATCATAAATTAACTGTGCTCCATGATAATTTGTATAGAGAACAAATGAATAAAGACAGGAATTAGAGCAGACTTTATACATAATAGATAAATAGTAAACAAAATGGCATTGCCTGAGAGTGCAGGAAGGTGTTCAGATGGCATGTTTTTCAATATTCAAAATAGGATTACTGAATTCCTCCAGAATTCCCTTTCTTCTTATCACCAGAATCACTCCCACTTGATGAGTCTGTAGAGTTTGCATTGAAAGATCCCATGTGCACCATCAATTTGACTTGTTATGTGTTCAGGAGTGAGTCTGTGGATATTCTGGATACATTTTTCCCCTTTTTGGATACTAAACTTTAGGATGCCTCTTCACTCATTAGTAAACATGATGAAGAAATGAAGCACATGGTCACTGAAAAAACTGGATTGCTGTTGTTGAAACAGATTTTAGATTCTGTGTATTTCAAGTACACATACTTCCTGTGTTAAGTGTTTGCTGAAAAAAGTGTTGCTGGTGTTATTTGTAATGTATTTTTACCTCATATAAGCATATTTGATGGAAAGGTTGTCCACACTGGGGGTTGTCACACACTTGGTCAGGAATTACACCATCAAGTTGATAAGCATAGCAAATTCCACAATCCATAGTGAAATCCTTCAAAAGAAAATTAATATTTGTACACATGGAATAAGGGAAAACAAATTAATTTGGTATTGCCAGCATTACATTTTTACAAATGCAGTTTTTATAAATAATCACCTCTTTGACTGTAGTATTTAACTGTGACAGATAGAATCTAACATTAAAGTAGTGATTACTAAATTTGAAAATTCTCTAACTAAAATGAAAGGACAAAAACGCTCCCCATCACTATGGTAGTCTCCAACTTTTAGTTAGCAGCTTTGTCAAAAATCAACTCTTAAGTTTAGTATTTTTAGAATGGAATAATGTCTATTAGTTTCGTAAAACTCTACTGTCCTCCTTTGTTGTTGTTAAATGCTGTTGAGTTGATTCCAACCCATAATGACCCTGTATAGATTTCTGAGGAGCAGCTGGTGAGCTTGAACCACCGACCTTGCGGTTCAAAGTGACTTTGCAGTCCAATGCATTAACCCACTGCGCCACACCAGGACTCCACTGTCCTCCTTGACCAACAATGATATCAAACTATTTCGAACTTTATTTCAGTCATATCTAAGCAATCACTACAGAAAATCTAAATAGATCATTTCCTACTCTGGGCCTTGCCACCCTAGTTTTAATAAAGATGCCAGTCATTAATCACTTTACTGCTATGAAGACCACGAAAACAGTAAACTTATAACCACCAATCAAAGGTTAATAGGTTCTTTAATGTTAACTGTTGCTTGCAGCTTAGAAGTCTTGTGTTAATAATATTCCCCAGTTCTCTCCATCTTCAGCCTCATTTTTCCTTGTATCTAAAAAAGGAGCACTGAAACTTTCATTATGCAGCACTGCTTATACTATCAAAGCACCAAGAAAACAACTTACAGATTTTTCTAGTATACTACGAGCTGGGAAATCAATTTCTAAAACATCTCTCAAGTTTTGTAACAGAGTATTTTCTGGATTCCTGAAAGAATGGGAAAAATTTTTTTCTATTAAATTTGTGAAAGCATACAAAAAGTTATCAACCATAATATAATAATATAATGCCAAGATACGTACCATAATTGTATATTCCTACTGAGTTTAATTCCCAGGGGTTTTACCACTTCAGATATTTAAAAGAAAAAAACAATTAGCAATTTCTTTATCATTTTGTAAAGCCACATTTGGCACAGAACTAGCTTTTTTAACTAGTTAGAAAATCATAATCATATAAATTATGTATTAAAAAATTACAAAGGCATATAGATCAGAATGATGAGGCAGTTCATTTTGAATAATTATGATTAATATCTTATTTTAGAATAATACTTAACAGTGGTTGATAAGAATTTTATGATTCTCTTAAAAATACTTAATACTGATACCATGGTCAGCTCCAAGAAAGCAGCACTCAGGAAGCATGGTGGGATGTCTAGGGTCTACTTCTATGTTCACTGAAGTATTATTCCCTAGAATGAAAGATGATCAACATGTTTAGAAGTCAAGCTGTTCATCAGATCAACAAAAAGTCAAAGGATGTCTGTCTGAGTAGTGATTTTAGAAGTTAGGATTACAAATAAAAATTCAAGAATTCCAAGTTTCTATAAAAACAAAAACACCCAAACAGCCAAATGTAGGATCAGCGTTGGACTGGGACCACAAGGTCATTGGTTCAAACCCACCAGTTGCTTCTCAGAAACCCTATATAGGATTGCTATGAGTCTGAACCAACTCTACAGCACTTAACAACAACAACAACAATTAAGTTAGGCTGGAATTATGTTAGTAGTTTGAATAAAATTTATCAAGCAGGTGAATAAATCAAAGGTCTTCAATATATAAAATATCTCCACAGCCATACATTTAAAAAGTAATGATCTAAATATATTGCTTTTTTATGGCCTGTCATTGAATTGTGGTCAAATGTAAAATGGACAGAAATACTATAAATGGTAACAAGCAAACATGTTTAGAAGTTAGAAGTTTTATGAAGATTCGTGATTAGTTTTATAATAACATTTCAATTTTTTTGTTTCATGTGAAGCTTTCCTCTGCTAACAAGGGGTTCAACACGTCACATTAAAATGGAAATTATTTATTACCAAAATATTAAATTATCCAATTCACATAATCTAAGAAAAGGTTATTTTTACCTGACATTAGGTTCTTTTACCAATTATAACTGGAGTGTAGTAGAAATTTCAGAAATCTTACTGGTATTTCTTGCTAGTACACAATTTAGTTTAAGATCAACTTGGATCTCTTGTTATGGTGAAAAATGTCTTCATAGTTTCCACACACTACAGAATAGACATTTTACTAAAGTTTAGTAACGAGATGAATACAATCAGGCAAAAAGAATCAAGTCAATGAAGGACAAAATGTTTTAAATGTTACACTCTCACATGTTAACAAATTCTGTACCCTGAACATAAATTCCATCTTAGCTCTAGAAAGTACTTTCACTCAACAGCAATGGATTTATTAACTCGTCTTTCCATTAAGTTGCTAAAAACCTGGTCAGAAGAAAGCAAATCAATGCCTAGGTGGAAAAACTGAGAGGTAAGAGGTAAATATGGAGAATGAATAAAAACCAGGCCATTTATGCCAATGAAAATTATAATAAAAGTATATTTAAATATAACCTGGTAAGAATAATACTTTTAATGGGGCAATGGAGATAGAAACTACTATAATTCTTCAAAAAAAAAAAAATTCATTCTTACAGTGTTTCACAAATACACCATAATGTTCTTAATTATTCCAAGCTAAATGCTGTCAAGACTGTTTCAAACTAGTATAGTAGCATTACTATTTGTAGAACTGCTGCATTATTATATGTTCTCATAACATAGCACTTTTTTCTCTCAAATCTATTATGCCTAAATAGAAACTGTAAAAAGTTGCAGGATAATCTGACTATGGTCACACATCATAATTTCAAAATGTTCTGCAGAATATATACCTTGCAACAATTTATCTATATGGGTTAGGGGTTAAAAAAAACAAACAAACATAAAATGCTATCTTAAAACTAGATAGCTATGGCATTTAATATGAGCTCAGAATATAGTTGAAAACACCTAAAATCTTTAGACTGAATTCTGAAAGTGAATTTATGTATTGATGGCTCATAATGAAAATACAAATATATATCAGCTTATGGTTACATTGCAGGATTGTTTTTGGTTGTACCACATCTTATTCATTAATTTCATATCTTTAAGGTTAAAAAAACAGTTAAAATAGTTCCCATTCTTCTGTTGTGCTTTCTGTACCCTCTTCAATGGCAAGGTTCACTTCAGTTTCTTTCATCCACCCCCTAAGGATTTGTCATATATTGTTTCCAAATTTGTTCACATCAATATTGACTGGTTTCACGGATGAAAATGCCATTTTCTCAAATACAGATTTTTTTTGTTGTTCTGAGCAACCTAAGTTTTTAATAACCTGCTCTACTACTTTTGTGCTAATTAAAATTTAATTAAACACTGTCTCTGAATGCTACTTCTGTAGCGTCATCACTTTTTATAATGAAACACCTTAATGTTTTTGCCCCTTCCTGAAATGTTTAAATTTAAATATGCAGTGTTAAAAGAAATCATAGTAAATTTCTAAAAGTTTTAATGGTTGGTTCCAAACAAAGAATTATTGAGTTCCTTTTGTTAAGTAATAACAAATTACACACATACATTTTTTAAAAAAACAACTTAATTCTGTTATTCCTACCTAATGCAATCCTGCGTGCCGTTGCACTCCGTGTAGGTTTTTCTGGCTCAAGTACCCAAGTCTTCTCATCGATTTCATCCATAACATCCCAGAATGCCTTCAGTGAGTCTAATGCTGCCAAAAACTGACTATGAATGCTTTGTAAGGAGCTCTGTGAAAAGATGAATGCTGAATAAGTTCTGTGGCACTCTACCAACAGCAGATAATCTTTCACTTGCAATACAACTCAATTTAGAAATTTTAAGCTGTTTCATTTCAACTAGAAACTAGACTCTAGTAAATAAACTCAACTCTCCCTTCCTCACATCACTTCACCTCCATTAGCGTTAAAAGGATTTATTTTTGTAACTAGACTATGTACCTTTTCAAGGAAGAATTTTTTTTAAATGTAATCATTTTTGTTATAATGCATGTTGTACTATATGTAAGGAACAGTAATTACTAATTAGTAACAGTAATTACTAATACAAGATATGTATGTACAACTATATTAGTAAACCTAGCATAATATATGAGGGGGCTTCAAAAAGTTCATGGAAAAATCCCATTGTCTTTAATTCCATTTTCTAAGAACTTTTTGGAAGCCCTTTTGTGTGGTGTCTATACAAATCTAGTACAAAAATCATTTTAACTTCATTTTGGGTACAAGGATCCCTGGTAGTAGAGTAGATTTTGAGCTGTGTTGCTAACTGCAAGGTCTTCTAATCTCTCAGTAGCACTGAGGGGGAAAGATGAGGCTTTCTGCTCCCCTAAAGATTTACGGCCTCAGAAACCCTGTATTGGGTCTCTATGAAGTCAGAATTGACTCCATGGCACATAATTACCACCACCATATTCCCTTTGAAGGCGCTATCATATATCCCCATTTATTTCTACTTACTGTTTATAAACAGATTTTATTCTTCACTTAAAATATATTCATTGAATATAAACAATATATATTTATGCAACTCAACATGTACTTTTTTCCTTCTTTGCTTAAAAGAACATTCGCATATCAGAACGAGAATATTTAGATTGTATTACATTTTATATCCCTATGTATTTAAGGGAGAAGTCAATGATGCATTTCATGACAACTATTATTTTCTAAACTACAAGGAAAGACGCTTGAGTCTTTCAAACTTTTACATTTTTAAAACATTTTGGTACTACATATTCCTAACAGAAATAGCAAAATAATTATACAAGTAAAATATGGTGAATATTCAAAAACTACACCCAGGACCCTGAAACTAATCAAAGGAAATGCCATCCTTTTTGCACAAACACATAATTTAAAAAGAGAGAGAGAAAAATGATACAGAAGAACAAAGGTATTAAAAAAAAGTGGAGAAAGAAAACAGAAGAAATTAGCTGCAAACACGCACACACATATAAAGCCGAGTGCCTAAAAAGCATTACACTGTCTTACAGAGAAGGCAAATATCCCAGAAACCAAGCTAATGAGTCAGAAGCCTCTCCACTAAGGATAAGGTATGGTGGGGTGCAATTTCTTGTCTTAAAAATAAAGAAGACTTACAGATTGTATTGTGTGTCCTACATAAAAAAAAAAAAAAAAAAAAAAAAAAGCTGTGCTGAGATTCTAACCCCTATACTTGCAAATATGCCACTGTTTAGAAATAGGGTTTCTTTAATTATATAAATGAGGCCATACCACAGTAGGGGGATTTCTAAACCTGTTCCGTTCTTAGTGGTTTTATATATATATATATATATATAATTACAACAGTCAATTACACAAAAGAAAAAGCCATGAAAATATCCCTCAACAACCAAGAAACACCACGGACTGCCAGCAGACACCAGAAACCAGGAAAGTGACTTACAGAAGCAGTCCAGACCTTTATTTGGACTTTTAGCCTTGAGAACTGTGAGAAAATAAATTTCTGTTCTTTGAAAGTCCCTTACTTGTGTCCAGGAAGCTAAGACAGAAACATGCTAATAAAACAAAGTGAGAAAGGATGATAGTTAATTGTATTCTGCTTCACCTTCCCCAAAGGTTTGTAAACGTCCATTCTGAAGGCACATCATAGTAGTTTACCTATTTGTTTATCTGACTATAAATTTTATGTGGAGAAGCAGTGTAGCAGAAAAAGACTTGAAGGATAGAAACTAGAAAATCGTCTCTATCACATTACATGCACAAGAGCTAAAGTTTAACAGCTGAGCTACGCCTAATAGGAAGTCCAGTCTTCTGATAGTGAAAAGCAGAGGTCAGAAGAATAAAAAGAATGTATCAATGTTAAGGAAAAAAAAAAATAGGCATTTCCACATGATTTGAAAAGAGCATGCATAGAAAATATTAGGAACAGCTAAGGCACTTAATGAAGTTCTCTGTACCTTCACCAGAATACCTGGACTGTTCTGGATAAAAGTTTCTCAGTGAAAACATCTGTACGAGAGACTCCTAAATTGATTCACTGAAAAGATTTCTGAACAAATGCAACAAAAAAGATTTCTGAATGAACCGTCTTGTTTGTACTATAGATTTGGCATTTAAACCTTAAGATCATGAATCATTAGAAAGTAAGTCTGGTCAAAAAGTCACTACATCATAACTTTATAAAAAATTTAAAGGGTTATTTTACTACCTGAATAGTTTTATAATGTTGAAGTACAGCCTATTTTGTGAAGACGTGCTAATTTTTATGCTTTGCGTATACATCAAGTCCCCTGATATCAGAGCAGAACAGGAACAGGTTGGCTACTCTTGTTCATCTTTAAAAAAACAAAATAAATCTTCAGTTAACTAATTACATCATTACTATAAAATATTAAAGGGATTACGGTGGCTCTGTATGATAAGCACTGGGCTGCTAACCACAAGGTCAGTGGTTCCAGCCGCTCCAAGGGAAAAAGAAGAGGCTTTCTGCTCCTGCAAAGATCTATAGCTTTGGAAACCCTACACGGGGTCACTATGAATAAGGACTCAATGGTACTTAACAACACCAAAAACAGAATCTTAAAAGGTATCACATTTTCTACTTCTTACTTATGAGGTCTCAGACAATGAACAGAGAGGTAGATGAAGATATTCTTTAAGCTCCTTGTCTTAAAGATGTACCTTCAATGAAAGAACTCAGTGGTCTAGTTTCCATATTCATTAATAAACTGTTTGTATGCTGAGGTCTAAACGCTCTTCAAAATGTGAGTGTCTAGTACTAAAATACAAGGTCAGCAGTTCAAACTCACCAGTTCCTCCTTGAAAACACTATACGGGGTCGCTGAGTCGGAATCGAATCCACAACACATAATCCACCACCACCACTTTACCAAGCATGATGTTCTCCTCCAGGGTATGGTCCCTCCTGGTAACTTATTCAAAGTGTGTGAATAATATCTTAGCACCCTCGCTTCTAAGGAGTATTCTGGCTGTATTTCTTCTGAGACAGGTTTGTTGTTCTTGCAATCCACGGTGTATTCATCAATATTTTAATTCAAATGCATCAAGTCTCCTCTGGTCTTCCAGCTTTCACATACATTAAGAGGCAACTGAAAATACCATGGTTTGGGCCAGGGACAGCTTATCAGTGGCAACTGGGTCATAAGGATAATTAATTATTCTATTTATATCTTTGTTCTGTTGTTGTTAAGTGTCACTGAATCAACTCCAACTTAAAATGAACTGGTGTAGGGTTTTAAAGCTGTAATTCTTTGTGGGAGCAGAAAGCCTCATCTCTCTACCATGGAGCAGCTGGTGGGCTCAAACTGCAGACCTCATGTTTCGCAGTCCAGTGCTTATCCTACACTTATGCCATATCATCTTTACTTGTATCAAATAAAAAATGGTAATCTATTTGGGCTCAGGATCTTCCCAGAAAGCAAAGCCTCAGGCATATATACATATATAATCTATCATGGGAAGTGATTTTAGGGAATAAGAGTGGGGATTAGAAAGAGTGAAATAGATGAGGGAAAGTAAAAACCGGGTGTATTTTCAAATTGCTCACTGTGGTCAACCAAGGCTGTAACTCTAGGGGAGCTTAAAAGACACAGTTCCTCAGAAGTGCCACCCAAGAAATGGAAGTAGGGTACACCTATTTACTGGCTTCAATTCCCTACTGGTCAAGAGTTGCCCTAACAGAGGTTCATTCTCTCACACTCAGAGGTTTTTGGTTGTTGTTGTTGTTGTTGTGTACCCTGAAGTCAGTTCCAACTCATAGTGACCCTGTATAGGGTTTCTACGAACAGCTGGTGGGTTTGAACAGCCCACCTTATGGTTCACAGTCCAATGCTTATCCTACAGTGCCACACATACACATTGATGCCTTGTGTTTCTCAGCACTAGAGAAACCTTGGTCACAGAGAGAGAATACAGCAGTAGAGCTGAGACATGGTTTTTGATTAGATTACACCACAATGAAGCTAATCGAAGCAATATTGCTGAGTCAAATGTGGTCATAAACAAAGGGAAGTAGGGAGCAAGAATTGTTTTTATTCTTAAACATGTCAAAAAAGCAAGTGAATTATATTTCAATTCTGTGTTAAGTTAAATAAGTACATTTTGAAATTTTGCCTCATGAAATCAATTTGTATATGGTTTTAATGATAATGAGGGTTAGCCCTGAAGTATCTAGAATGTATGTCTATGCAAACATTCTGCCTTTTGGGGTTGTTAGTATCCTATTATTGAATTTGAAGAGTTTTTGTTTTTTTTAAATAGATTCTTGATATAAGTCCTTTATCAGATATATGCTTTACAAATATTTTCTCCCAATCTCTGGCTTCTCTTTTCATTTATTTAAAAGTATCCTTCCAAGAACAAACTTTTAAAATTTTTGATGAAGTCCAATTTATCATTATCTTCTTTAATGGACCTTGTTTTTAGTGTTATATTCAGAAATGTTCATTAGAAAGGAAGATGGCAAGACTTTGTCTGACATAATTTAGACATGTGATCAGAAGAGACTAGTCCCTATTGAAGGACATCATCCTTGGTAGAGAGTCATCAAAAAAAAAGAAAACAGCTCTCAGTGAGATAGACGGGTAAATTGGCTACAACAATGAGTTCAAACATAGCAATGAAACTGAGGAACGGGTAGTGTTTCAGTCTTTATAAACAGAGTTGCTATGAATAAGAATTAACTTGACAGCACTTAACAAGCAAGAAAAACCTTTAGCTAACCCAAAGTTACAAAACCTTTTGCT